GAAAAAAGCCTAGTGTAAAAGAAAAAGTTCTATAGAATGACGTTGTAATCATATTTCTAGCATTTTCAAAAGTATTGATTTAATAACTCTAAAAATGTGGTATAAATATCTTGTAGATGTTTTCATTACACACTGAATACACACGAGTGTATATTTTTTATCATTATTGCCCAAATATTTTTCAAACATTTACCTCAAGGGGAAAATTTTTTTTTTATTTATTTTTAATCATAAATTTGAGATTATATTATTGTAATTTTAAAAAAATAAATTCTTAGATCTAGACAAATAACTATTACAACTATGTTTTCTATTAGCACAAAATCTACTTTTATATATATTTTACCTTGATTATAGAAGAGGGAGAATTAAAGCTTTATTTATTCACAGCATTAAGGATTCATTTCATTTGATTACAGCAAATGTTTTTTTTTGGTCTTTTTTTGAATGCAGTTTTTCAGCCCTATACAAGATATTATTTCTTCCTGCACATCAGACCATACCAAGACACCTGCAACATGAAGAATGTGAACGACAGTGAGACGACCTACGGCACAGCCCAAACTTACTTCACTGAAGGAAGTGAGTCTAAATATTCATATATGAAAAGTGAACATGTGGCCATAAGTGACCCATACTCGGAATTAGTGCTCTGCATTTATCCCATCCAAAGTGCACACACACAGCAGTGAACACACACCCGGAGCAGTGGGCAGCCATTTATGCTGCGGCGCCCGGGGAGCAGTTGGGGGTTTGGTGCCTTGCTCAAGGGCACCTCAGTCGTGGTATTGAAGGTGGGAGAGAGCGCTGTACATTCCCCCCCCCCACCTACAACCCCTGCCGGTACGAGACTCGAATCCGCAATCTTTAGCTTACGAGTCCGACTCTCTAACCATTAGGCCACGACTTCCCCCCATTAGTAGTTTTAATATATGCATATGATAGTATTCATCTGCATATTAATATATTATATATATACAAACAAATTTTAATATATATATATATATATTAATATATGCATATGAAAACTATCATATGCATATATTAAAACTACTAATATATACTGAACAAAAAATAGGGCAAAAATTACCTTTACTTGTAGCTTGTCAGTGGGACAGTACCCTCAATGGCACCCCCAGTACCCTCTCCTAAAAACACAGATACATCGATTACTAGTTTGCTGGTCTGTAGACTGAGCTGCATCACTGACAATGCTTTGCTTTTGCCAGAGATTTCTTCATGCATGAATTTAATGCACGAAAGCACTTATTTGTAGTCTAAAAGAAGTCTGAGTGTGCAAGTGTTAAGGATGTTATCTCCTGAACTTTGCCAGAGAAATATGAGCTATTGTGCAAGCTAAAAAAAAAAAAAAAAAAAAAGGGAGAGAGGTTAAACACTGAAATTTTACAGTAACTGGTCTGCTCTAGTTTCCTTGTAATAGTTACAGCAGTAGATAAGAAGAACCTAGATAACTGATGTGTCATTGTGTCCGAATGAACTGAAGCTTTTTGGGCTTTCAGGTCCAATCAGTGCTCCTGGGAATGTTAGCATTTTGAATATTACCCAGCATTCCTCAGTAATTACGTGGAGCCCTGTGTCTGAGGAAGACCTGCGTGGATTCTTATTGGGCTACTGCATCTACTTGACAGAGGACAATAATGAAACATGTGAGTATGAGTCGGTCATAAAGTTATGTTTATTCATGTTTTATTTTAAACTTAGAAACAATTATTAGGCATTATTACTAGTGGATTTTAAATCCCTTAAATGTACGTTTCATTGTCAACACAATAATGTTTCTAAAAAATGTGAATAAATCAGAAAAAAATTCACACAATTTCCAGTGAGCTAACATTACGAGAATCACTTTATCACATGTTTATCTTCTGTTCTTATGTCTTAAAAGATTTAGTTTAATTTTTCCAATGTAATGGCTCACTAAGTAATGGCTGGGAACTGCTCTAAAGTATGATTTGATAGTCCATGCTACCAGTTTCAAGTTTGTTTGCAAAAAAAAAAAAAAAAAGAAGAAGCTTTTATTGTTGTTGTTATTGTATGATAATAAGGCTATGAATGTGGCATTGTTTTAAATGCAGTTTTTGTGTTATATATATATATATATATTTACCACATTCAACATTTACAGCCTTCAAAGTGGATCCCAGCATGAACAGCTATGAGCTGCAGAATCTTGAGAGCAACAGTGCGCACCGTGTGCTGCTCTCTGCATTTACTGCAGCTGGAGAAGGAGAGCGCAGTGATTTCACACACTTTGTCACAAAACCGCCAGGTAAACTCATATTTTTCATGAGATAATGTCTGTTACTGAACTGGGATTTGAGGTTTATCTGTTCAAAATACACACTAAATCTCTGGAGGTTTGTTTTTTAATCACATGGACTGAAATAGTCACATACGTACTGACTACATGGCTTATTCTGACAGAATTCACAGCTTTGAACAGCATTATAGCCGCGGTCGTTGTAGGAATAATAATTCTTTTACTAGCGGTTCACTTCAGCTTCCGGCTTCTGCACAGGTAGAGACACTTGCATTTTATGTTCTGAAAGATTGCCATATATAACCAGTCACTACCCCTGCATGTCTGTCATCTAATGTGGAGCTCACTGTGCATTTTTACAGAGCCAAGAAACTGCTGTGGCCGAGTATACCAAATCCTGAGAACAGCAATGCTGTTCAGAAAATTGAAATTGCCTATGAACTGGTAAGCAAGAGACAATATATACCGCTGAAACAATAATTTCGTTGTCAAGGAAAATAGTATACAAAAAATGGTATACAAACACTACTGAGACAGTGCCACAAGTACAGTACAGTTATGACCTGAGATGGTAATACTATGGTTTAAACGGTACAGAATCAGAAGCAGAAATTGCCAAGTATGTTTGCACATACAGGGAATTTGTTTTGTGGTATTGCACACTGGGGAGAGCATTTAACTGTTCATGAAGTAGATTGCCTGGGAAGTACGCCAAGGTACTTCACATAATATCATTGTTTTACCATAGTGCATGTCTGTTCGATTATATTATACTCTCTGCCAGATATTTCTGTGAGTTTGCCTGTCTGCGCTCCCTCCTCCCTTCTCTCCATTTGTCTTTTTCCCTCCTCCCTTCTGTGTTCTTTCCTCTCTCTATCCCTTATTTTATACACACATGCATATATGTATATCTCCTTTTGGCTTCAAATGATGAGATGATGGTGGGGCCCTTTGGGACGAGGTTATTGAGTTTGGTCTGTCCGATGTACAGAGTGCATTTGGGAGGAGTTATCCTTCTGCCAGATGTACTCCTATAATATGTCCAGAACTTCCTGATCATATTCCCATTTTATATAACACACATATGTAATCCATATCTTATTGGTTGAACTGGGTACACCACCTCTCATAATATGTCTGTATATACCATTGTATATAAGACAGTAAAAACAAAGTTAGGCAACCTCAGATTTTTTTTGTCTGCCTTGCCTTTCTTCCCGGCCGTTACACTCTGAGAATATTTTGGTGATGACGAGACATAACGGGATTCATTTTTAACAATGTCCAAAAAGCATATTCTGCTTGTTGGTTGGGCCACATGACATTGATTTTGAAAACATACATACATTACATTTCAAACATACAACAATACATTTCAAGTGTTAATAAGCTGTGAAGCACTTTCTAAGAAATAATAGATGAGATTATAATAATAGAATAATAAGATTATGCCGAACTACTTAATAAGGTGTTATTTTCAAGAAATTCATTGATTTAACAAACCTGCTTTCTTCATTATATCAACCTGAAATTTTTGACTTTATGCCACCCGAAGCGTTTTGGGCTTTCAGGTCCTATCAGTGCTCCTGGGAATGTTTTGATAGTATTCATATGCATATTAATATATTATATATATACAAACAAATTTTAATATATATATATATATATATATATATATATATATTAATATATGCATATGAAAACTATCATA